GTGGGTCCAATTATTGTGGGTTTTTCTAATAGAACATTCAGCCCAAGCTCAGAGAGAACTCTTTGGTGGAGAAAAAGGGCAGAGGCAAAGTTTGTGGTTACCTGCCATGACCAGGGGCCCTGGTCTCATCAAAAACATCTACCTTTAACTCAACCACACAATGAGATGACCTGGGCTGTCTTTTAATATCTCAATTACCACTGTGTGCTCCTTCCTGTGAATCACCAGTGTTTTTAAAAGATATATAGCGCTGAAAGGGAGAATGTTCATCCAGCTTTACTATAAACAACAGCAGAATTAAACTCTGACTTGGAAGAATGCAATAAGAATGAACAAAATTAAGCACTGGAGCTGGCTTTTCTGAATGAGATGCCCCTGGAGGTCTTTTCATGCTGTGTTTTGACATTATGAAACTTCTTGAGTCCCCATCCTTAAGGGAAAGGCAGAATGATTTAAGTCACACTGCTGCTTCCAATGCAAATGAGTACAGCCTTAAATTACATATTAAACTGAAACAACGCTGTTTTCTTTGTTTAACAAGAGCTTGTAAACTCTCCTGCATGAATGCATGCATCCTACCACCACATATCCTGTATAATATTTCTGTGATAATGAAATTTAAGATGAATTCACAAAAGGTAAGAATGAACAAAACTAACTATAGGGCATAGCCAAATTAAATTCTTATGATTCATTAAGCAGCTATTAAAATAACCCACTAAGTCTAAGTTACTGGGGTAGAAAACAGTGTATCTGCACATCACCAGTGAATTGCTTGAGCTCAGCCTTGCCCAGCAGGTATCCATTTCTGCCAAGTCATGCAGGGAGCAAAAGTCTCAGCCTGGAGCTCCTTCATCCCATTAGTTGATGAAATTTTTAAAAGGGATGGTGTAATCTGGAGATCAAGTGGTTTCTGTCCTGGGGCTCCCCTCTGACAAAATGTTCTGGCAGAATAGGTCCCTTTGAGCATGCTTTGTGCAAGTGTGAAGCGCCATCTTCTGGTTAAGCGAAGCCTAACATGAAGGGAAAGAAATGGTCTGTTCTCGTCCCTTCTGCCTCCACACACTCTTCTACTTGAATTAAGCAGCAATAGAGGTTTGACGCTATAGAGTAATTACTATTTAGAAAACAAAAATAATTCATTTTCTTAGAATCAATATGTTGATCACAAATTCTTGTGGATTCACTGATATCAATGATAATTCAAGCTAATAAGTTGCAAATTGACAGTGTACAAGTATTCTTTTTGGCCCACAGAGTACTTTCTTCCATCTTATTCTATTGAGGTATGGTTCACACATGCAGTGTAGAGCATGAATCTTCAGGGTGTGGTCTGATGCTCGGTACATTACATTTGTACATTTTTACATGTATATAACACATGTAATCATTACCCAGATCAAAATATGGAAGTTTCCAGCATCCCAGCAGCCTTAGTCCTCCCTCAGAGATGACCACCATTCTGAACTCTGCCACCATAGATTTGTAATGGCATCACTAAAGTACAAACTCCTAGCCCCAAACCCCCAGAAAGAATTAGAATGCTATAATTACCATTGTAATAGTTTTTCCAGAATGTTCCTAAACATTCTGGGCTTAATGTTTGCTTGCAGAGTCCTGGTGTCAATGTTCTTTCTCTCCCCAGTGGAAATTCCTAATATATTATTTTTCTTCCCTACCTTGTCACTGAGAGAGACATCTCTTCGGTGTACTGAGTATATTTTCCCAAGTGTCCCTGCAGGCAGCCAAAGCAATTTTTGAAGAAATTCTGTGGCATCTCAGAGGTGCCACTGACTGTCATGGCACAGCGGGTGAATTCTGATGCAGCATTTCATAAATGAATGGGAATGCCTTGTTGCCCACAGCTGCTCTGACACCTTGTTCAAATTAAGCCAAGCAGTAGCATCTGTCCTGGAGTCATAATGGTGAGAAAGGATCTCAGCTTATAATCCAGCCAAGCCTACTTAATAATGAATAGCACAACACAATCACTGTTGCTATTATACACCACCACTTTCCATTCAAATGAAACTAAGTTCTCTCTGAACATCAAAATATATAGTTATATATCAAGAAGCAGAGCCAGTTTTGAAATGAAGTTGTTATTTCAGAGCTTTCTTGCATGTATTCGTTTATTTGATTGTTGGATAAGCAGACACACATTCAATCAACAACCATGGTAGCAAACACGTTATTTTCTGGGTGTTTTGCAAGATGTCAGAAACAAAAGTGAAAGATGTGCGGGTCCTCCCACATTGCCATGAGTGGAGCCTTGTTTAGCCTGCAGGCTGGCATTTAAGGGAATCACTACCTCTCTTAGAATAAACAAGGCAGCAATATAAGCATTTTTCTAATGTAGCCCTTTTCACAAATGACTTGTATTTTTTCTAATTATTTGTCATGACTTTGGAAAATAGAAAAATGTAAAGAGGAATACATAAAAGAAAAGTCTTATTGTAATAGCTTCAATTAATTTCTTTTGTGAACTTATCATTACACCCCCCTCCCCCTCTCTCTTTTCATGTGTACTTCTTGGAGTTATGTTTTATACCATATTTTCCTCTAATATTAGAAATTCTCAAAACACTAAAACTTTGAGTGACGTCACAATTTCTGGAATAAGAATGAAAACTGATTTATTAACCATTCTCTATTATGGGATATTTTTATCATTTGCTGTTTTTACAATGCTTATAGATGTTTTGTTTGAAATTGAGTCTTTCATTTCCCGCCATACTCAATGACCATCTAGAATCATGTTAATTAACAATGGCAAAACTGGCTGTCCCTGGTTTGTTCTTGATTTCAAAGGAATTAAACTGGTATGAGAGAGTTAAAAACCGTAGTCTTTTGAGTTCTAATTTTTAAACATCAAGAGTAGAGAATTTAACATTACCAAGTATCTTTTAGGCTGTTGAAATAATTACATTGTACTGATTGAATGGATATGAAAATTATATTAGTTTAATGTAAGTCCTCCTTCCTCAGAGTGAATACTATTCTATCTTGCATTACTATACTTTTAGCAAATTGTCAAATTAAATTCTATACTATTGTGTTTAGTACTGAAGGACATGTATCTGTTATGCATTGTTCTTTAGAGATGACTGGTTTAGCAAGATTAAAAATAAACTGTCAATCATTCTAGTCTATAAGTGGGGTTGCTGAAATGGAGGGCAGGCAAACAATTTGTGTCCCTTTTTCATCCTCCCTTTTCTTCTGACCTCTCATCCCCAGTTGTCACAGGGATCTTCCTTTTGTGACTCCATGAAGTACTTTCCTTAACCTCTCTCTAAGATCTCATCAAATCGTTTCTTAGTTTTGAATTCTCCGTATTGCCTTCTGTTCTCGTATGAGTGGTGCATGTCTTAAATTTGAGAGTTTCCCATCCAGCCCCCTTAGCCAGCAGTGTCCTCTACCTCACCCATCCTAGAGAATCAGATTGGTCCCAACAATGTGCTGAAGTGACAGGGATGAATGGCGCTTAGATAAGTTTTCTTGTGAACATCTTGTGATCTCTGAACCAGCCCTGTGCCCACTGAGGAGCAGAGCAGAGGAAAAAGCAATTCCAAAATTATGTGAGTACCATGCTGCTCTGGGCAGCAGTATGGGTCCAGAAGACATAAGTCACTTTCCAGGGACATGGCAAGAGGACACAGACAGAGACCAGAGCAGGCCCCAGGACTGGCCCCATGTGTCTGCTCCAGGTGGCTGCTCCATCTAGTTTTGCTGTAATGATAGAGAACCAGCTACTCCAAATAATGTCCCCTGACTCATATACTACTCCTATATACTTTTAAAACTAAATACATTCCTTATGCTCTAATAATTTTTGTTTAAAAAAATCCTCTGAATATTTATTTCAGGACCTCACTTCAAAATAATGTCTTTCAAGTTCAATTCTTTCCCAGGAAAATTCCCAGCCTTGCAAGATGAAGGGTCTTCTAGTTGCCCCCACACACTACCTATAAGCCTGATCCCCCACATACTCTAATTCCTACAGTGTGTGGCAAGTGGTTTTCATTTAACTCGTGTTTCTGGGATTTATCTTTTTTTCTTGTACAGTAATATTCTTGAATGGTATTATTCATACTTACTGAAGGGCCAGAAGCAACCTTAAAGGATCATGCAGACCTTTTCACAAGTAGTTAGGTATGGAATTGCATTCAAAAAGAATGAAAATGAATGGAAGAAATGGTGACAAAAATGAAGGGGAAATCAAATGACCCAGCAATTCTGGTCATTTACTCAAGATATGTGTACTAAGAGTATACCCATGCTCTTAGCAGCATTATTTGCAATAGTCAAAAGGTGGACGTAACCCAAGTGTCTGCTGACAGACAAATGGATAAGCAAAATGTGGCATATGTATATATAACTCAGCCTTGAAAACGAAGGAAATTCTGACACTGGCTGCAACTTGGATGACCCTAGAGGGTGTTCTGCTAAGTCAATAAACCAGTCACAAAAAGACAATGATTATATGATTCCATTCACATGCAGGGTGATGTCTAGAGAATTCAGGTTCACAGAGGTGGGAAGTAGAACAGAGGTTCTGCTGGGGGCAGAGAGGACTGGGGATGGGAGGTGATCACTTTTGCAAGAATCTCAATTTTACAAGATAAAGAGTTCTGAAGATGGATGGTGATGACGATGACACCACAAGGGGAATTGACTTAATGCCACTGAATTGTACATTTAAGAAGAGTTAATATGGGAACTTTTGTATTATAGGTATTGTGCCAAAATTTTTTAAGTGAACAGGGGGAAAAGTACACTATTAGAGCAAGAATCACAATTCAAATCAAACCACCAGGCCAATGCTCCAAGCAACAAATCTTCCAAGCACCTTCTCTTCAGACCACCCTTCCTGGAAAGAAGTGGTTTGGGGAGTTGTTGGCCTTGTGCTTCCAAGAGGTCACTAGGATCCCTTGGAGAGCAAAGTGAAATGCTAAGTTCAGTAATTACTTTCTTCTTCTTCTTCTTCTTCTTCTTCTTAGGGTGTTAAACACCACATTATTTGAGAGCTGGGAGATCGTTGGACCGTACCCTTCCTGGTGGGTTTTTAACCTACTGCTGTTGCTAATACAAGGGTTGAACTGCTTCTGGTCTTACCTGATTGTAAAAATAGCTTGCAAAGCTGTTTCAAAAGGCAAGGTAAGCTAAAACTCACTTTTTGATATGTCCCAGAAAATTTTGTGGATTGGTTTGTTTTGTTTCTCTGAAACAACTGTTGATTTCAGATTTCATTGAAATTGATGTTGTTTCTTCCAGATTGAGCAAAGCCACATGGAAATACAAACTAAATTATTTTCTTCCTTTTGGTTCACTTTTGAAGTCCTTATATTGCACTAATGATGGTGTCCAGTGATCTGCATGTGAAGGTTTAGTTTAAATGATGGTGTATCATTTGTTGTATTCTTTCTCTCCTCTCTCTGTCTCCCCTGGTCCTTCTCTATGTCTTTACTGAACAGAAATTTAACAAGTTCTTTCCTTTTTTTGAGAAGAGTTATTTGGTGCAGTATGCCAATTAAAAAATATATGTGTCTCAAATTGAAAAAATAAATACTTTCATGACTTGTCCAGCAACATTTAGTTAAATCTCTCTATTGGAAGTGAACTCATGGGGCTGACTTGCTTAAAGCTTCCTTAAAGTTTCCTGAGCCTCAGTCCCTTTGTGTAGAACAGTGACTTTTCCAGATTGTTCTCTATGACATTTTCTTACTTCGTTGTTTGTTCTCTTCCTCCTGCCACCCTGGAAGGCTGGGAAGTGGAACCCTTTACATGTAAGTGTCTCATACTTTCTCTTTCCCTTACCTGGGTGCCACGTGCCTGTTGAAGGGACCCTTAAATGCTTTTGCTTCATGCATATTGTGTGTCTCATCTGTCAGCACTGACTAGAGGCTTCATGTAAGGCGTGGTTTCCACTTAGCTACAAAGAACATTAGGAACAGCTCTGCCCATGTGTATGAGCCTGCAGTCTCTTAAATTTTGCATGATCCAACAGAGGAATTTCTTTCATTGGTGTTTAACATGTTGACCAAAACACAGACCAAAGTGAAGTGGGAGAAATAAAACTAGTTGAGAAGTTGGGGAGGATCAATGTTTTGCAGAACAGAGGCCTGGGGATCAGCTGTCTGCTGAATCTACACAGCCACAGGAGAGCCCTTGACCTCCTTGTCCTCTTGAATCCTCACAGAGCTGATCCCCGCCCCCTACCAGCAGAGACAGGGCATCTAGTCATGTACAGTGAAGCCAGTTCTCAGCATCAGCTCTCACATATATCCAAAATATTTTGATCAATTAATGGCTTGGAAGCTTAAGTTTACTTTTCCCTGTGACCTCTTATGCTTTAAGACGAACATGTATATTTATTAAAAATTGATTTGGGGGAGTGGGTATAGGGGATTTAACCCTTGGACATTTAATCACTGAGCCACATCCCCAGCCTTTTTTATTTTTTATTTAGAGACAGGGTCTCGTTGAGTTTCTTAGGATCTCGCTAAGTTACTGAGGCTGGCTTCGAACTGCAGTCCTTCTGCCTCGGCCTCCCAAGCTGCTGGGATTACAGGCATGCACCACCATGCCCAGCCTAAAAATATTTTTATGCTCATTTGGATACAGATTAAAGCAACATTCACAATACCATCAGAATGATAATAACTAAAGATACAGAGGGTAGGATGGATTAAATAACTTGTATCTTTTTCGCACTGCTGTTTCCACCTGATGTATCATCTTCCCTCTATCTTCTATTCCTCATTGTATCTAAATTGCCCTTCCTTTGAAGGTAACATAAGTATAGATTTTTTCAACTGCAATCAAAAATAATCTCACTAGCCATGCAAATGTAAATTCATCACTCTCCGCAATTTTCCATTAGAAGCTTAATTTATGACTAATGGACTTAGAAACCTAGTGGAGCTCTACAATAATGCTGTCTTTGTGATCCATGTTTTTAAAGCTGATATCATCTCCGTCACATTGATGTCTCAGTTCTTTCAGAATGGTCTGTGTGAGTTCACTCTCGTCTCCAGGGAAACTGGAGTGAGGTTCATTTACTCCATCACTGGTTGGAATGGAACTGTAGTTTCCAGCATTTACTTTCTCCTGTCCCCTCCTCTCCTGGGAGAGATGACATTCTCTCACAGTAATGGTAGCCCCTCGAGTGGTAGATTTCAGGACTCTCAGGTTGCTGTGGTGGTGGCACAGTAGAAGATACGATGGGAAAAAGCCCCCAGTTTATTCTGAAATACCTACCAGAGACACTGCAACCTCCACGACCCAAGAAAATCCCAGAAGACCAGATTGGAAGAATTTTATAAAGTTAGGCCAACAGGGCCCTTTGGCCACCCCCCAACCCCCTTAAAAATTAAGTAAACTATGTTCAGTTATTCAAAGATCTTAAGATCTGGGGGGAAATGGTGACCATAATTTAGATTTATGGAATAGGAGTGTCAAGCTATTTTAATTTTTAAAACAATACAATATTTCCTTAATTTCCTCTAAAATAACTTCCTTGCTAGATAATAGGATCTTTTCATCCTTTATGGTAACATATAGATTGCCATTCTGGTAGACCGAAGAAATTGACACTATTGATTGAAGAAATTGGTCAATTTGGGAGGATCTGGGCAGTGGATTTTCCCCTGGAAATAGCATAAGCTAGACTCACCTAAAAGATTCTTAATATGGCTTCTGATGCCATTAGTTGATATGTGATGTATAAAACAAAATTGCTAATTAATATTAGCAAACAGAAAAGCAGATTAAACCATCAAAGAGTGTGTTACAAAACCACATGGGAATGATTTTTTTTTAATGATCTAAACTAGTGAATATCTGTATTAGTTATGGTTAATTGAGAGCTGACTTTAAATAATTCTCAAGGAAAAGCAGTTATTAGAAAGGAAATTGATGGTTTGTATCCAGTTTCTGTGATGCCATTCCATAGTAGAGTATGCCACTTTTGAGTAAGAGTAGAATTCATGTTTTCAATATCCAAAGATACTTTAAAGAGGTCAACAAGTCCAACCCTGTGATTCCTAAATGCACCTACTTTCCTTTATAACTGACTTTGTCACCCAAATTGTATCTCTCCAGTGAAGGAGAATTTGTTACTATGGCAATGTTCTTATCCTCTTTGATTTTTTAACATTTGGATCAGTTTATCTTCATGTAAGATTGCATGTGCTTCTGAGCATGTCATACTTTGAGGTTTCTTAGAGGCTGGTTACACTTTCCATCTTGTGTTCTACAGGTGTCCAAGGATGATCGAAGTGATATTGAGTCTAGCTCAGATGAGGAGGACTTGGAACCTCCGGGGAAGAACCCTCACACCACAACAACTACCAATGGGACCGGTGGTACCAATGGGTATCTCCTGACCGGTCCTTGCTCCATGGATGATTAATTACTCAAAACTATACATCCCGAACAAAGTGAACTGTTTGTTCCTGGAAGTATTTAATAAGTTGCAAATGCAGTTCCTTTCATGATATCTCAGCAACAGAAACAAAAATTAGGATTATCAAAGCATTTTTGAATAGTGCACTGCCATATGTCCTGTTTGTGAATGAAGAAGAAATATCATTCTCTATATGTAGGCATGCTATATGTATTTGACACAAGGGAACAGTATTTGCATTTGTACTGTCTTAGAATATTATTTATTTTTTTGTATTTGTTTGTAAATCTGTGGACAAAAAAGGGTTTCCTCACTCCTTTTACTCTCCGGGTTCATGACAGTGAAGGAGATGCTCCATCTGCTTCTGCCCCTCTCTCTTGCTGTAGTCCAGTGTGCTGTGAACCTCAGCTTAGTTTGTCACTTAGCACAAGCAAAACCCAGCGCAGAACTCTTGAACCGCTACAAATAGGTTTGCTTTCTTTGTGTAACTGTGCCCATTTTGAAGTTTGCCTATACAGTTGGTGACCATTCTCCAGTGTAAAGTATAAAGGATGAACTAGGTTTTTAAAATGTCACTCATCATGGTCACTGAGCAGTTCAAGTTAAACAGGGTGTTCTTGGGGAACTGTTTTGAATTTGCATCAAATCACTTTGGAATATATTTTATTTCTTGTGCACGCAGCCAAGATTTCTTCATTGAATGTTGTGGCCAGTTGAGCTTTAGCCTTGTAGTTTACAGTTTTTTTTTTATTCTCTGTGATGAGGTGAGGGCTCTGACACTGAAGGAAGATGTCTCCTTAAGCTCATGGCTACAAATAAAGAAATTACGGTTAATGTTGGGAATTTGCTCCACATTCTAGGAGTAACAAAAGAGAGCACTGATTTCAACCAGATTTTGCCACTACCCTTGTGATTGGCACAGTCTTCTGTTATATCATGAGAAAAGAAGCCAAGTGTATTTGGGGACAGAAAAAGGAGTCTTTCAAGAGTTGGCAAGGGCCACTTCCAGGGCAAAGCACTTTCTTAACAAACAGCTCTCAAGGAAAAGCCTATCTGGTATCAGACTTGATGTTTTTATTTTGCCAGGCAAAATAAAGCCAATGGAAGATAACTGGCCCATTGCTTTTCTCACCCACAATGACGTTCTTGTTTCTAGAAACTGGGCAGTGTTGCACTCCAAGTCCTTTTCATTGGCTTCTTTGAAGACTTGTTTATTTCCAAGAATTTTGTTCAAATGGAGGTATTTCCAGAAAGACAACAGAAAGTCTTTTGGACAATGGCAATATCAGTGATGAGGAAAATTACTGAATTATAAATCTCCATAAACGTCTATAGCAGTGTTATTTGTGTATGGATTAAAAAAAAATCATACACGTCAGCCAAAGATTTTATCTCTTTTCTTCTAAATTTTAATAAGAGGGAATAAAATGGGATTATAAATACTTATTTTACAAATGAAAAGACTGTCACCTAAAACAGGAATCCAAAGCAAAAATGCAGTAATATAAATGTGAGAATTGGCACTGTGAAGACAACAGCAAAATCTAGAGAGAGTGCATGTCCCATTGCTTAAGATCATTCACATTTAACTCGATTTTTTTAAAAACTTAAATCTTTGTGCCCACATTTTGCAACTAGTGAATCAATAGTTAAAGAATACTCCCAAAACCTCTCACTATAACATTAGATCTTTCCCTTACGATATAGTGTTTGTGGTATGGTCCATAGTAATAATCAAAGAGGCTTAGAGCTATGTCTGTTGTTTATATAGGAACAGTGAACTCATTCTGCTTGTGGAGCCTTATTGTTTTATTTCATGAGACAGACAAATGTCTAGAAGTGTAATTTGTGGATGGTGGAGATTGTGAGGCCAGTCACAGAACACCAGAAGTATTTAGTCATCAGAATAAAGCTCAAAAACAGGCTTATTTTTTGTGGGGGTAAGGGAGTACCTGAGATTGAACTCAGGGGCTCTTGACCACTGAGCCACATCCCCAGCCCTATTTTCTGTATTTTATTTAAAGACAGGGTCTCACTGAGTTACTTAGCACCTCACTTTTGCTGAGACTGACTTTGAACTCATGATCCTCCTGTCTCAGCCTCCCCAGCCACTGGGAACATACAACACTGCACCCAGCTCAAAAGCAGGTTTATGGGGGGGGGGGGAGCAGGTTTATATAAAAAGTGCATGATAGCTGAATTTTGAGAAGGTGGAAGTTTCTCATCAACCAAGGTATAAACATAGTCACCTGACTTTAGTGTCTGGGAAAGTCCTCTGCAAGGGGGAAATGAACTAGAGAAACACCACATGTCCCAGTTTAACAATATGACAAGATTCAGCCCAGAGGAATGATTTAAAGATCATCTTATAACTTAAAGATTTAGAAGAGGTGCCTAAGATGAAGTAAATTGATTCCTGTCCTTAGCAAAGGCAGATCTAAACAATCTTTTGTTTTTCTCAGAAGTAACTTATAAGGATGACTGGGGACACTCAGTTTTACTGGATGACAACAACTAAACACAGTCTTCTACATGCCTATAGATTTTTTCATTTCATACCTTAGGGCAAAGTGTTGTTTTGGCTAATTAAAATGGAATGGGTAGGCTTTTTATGGTGTAGAATTATGTATCTCTGTCCACTGCTCTCCTATGTTGGCCTGATAAGGCTTGAGAGAACACTGCGTGAGGTATCTTATCCAACTGTGCCAGGCCATGGCTTTTGGAGGCGTATTTTGTAAATTCAGCTGTAGGTTAGTGAGAGTGTTGTTTCTTGTTCATTAGCCTGTGGTGATGTCTCCTTCCTCCTGGTCACATTCAAACCTTCCCGGGGTACCAAGGAGTATGTAGAAAGAACTCTAGAAAGAATAATATTTTTAATCTCCAGTGTAATAGCTTTTCTAGATCTCTTAGTAGGGTGAGAAGTAGAAAATCAAGTAGAATTTGGCCTTGGGTTAATAAATGATATAAAAGTCTGTGATCTATTGTATGTATATGTATGTTTCTCCAAAAACTGATAAAATATTTCTCCAAAATATCATCAATTCATCTTTGTCCATATTTTTGTCATAGAAATCATCTACCATGTACAAGAGAAGCTTCTCTTCTCCTTTGGTCTTGCTCCCTACACAGCTGAGAGTAGTAGAACCCATTCATTCTCTTTGCCACAGGGCTATATATGGTAAAATACAGGTCATAGAGTGCCTGTGGTCACACAGAAGCCAAACATAGTTTATGTTTCCAAATTCAGTCCTATGGATGTTGAAAGAGTAGAGGAGCAACTATCAGTATTGGGGGTTATTTGAGTGTTCGTTGTAAAAAAATGCAAATGATTGTCACTTGCCCAGGTTTTATTAAAGTCCTACTCCTGGTGGGCTATCTATCATACAGATGGTATCCTGAGCTGCCATCAGATAATGCCACAGTATCTGATAAAAATGAAGGAGGCAGAAAAGGTAGTCAAGAGCAAGATCAGATCAAATCATCTTTAGTGAAAATGGCAGGTGAATCTCAAAATGTCCAGTTCTGTTGCCAAATTTTCCACTGACTACAGTCATGCCCATATGGTAACATTTTGGTCAACGTTGAGCCACATATATGACTGTAAGCCTATAAGATTATAATATAGCCTCAGTGTGTAGGCTGTACTATCTAGGTTTGTGTAACTATACTCTCTGATATATACATAATATTGAAATTGCTTACTGACTCGTTTCTTAGAATGTGTCTCTGTGGTTAAGCAACATATGAATATGTTTGATAGAGTTTGAAATTGAGCAAACTGAATTCCTTCCTCTTAGATAGAAAGGATCTGAATCTTCCACTTTGTATTTAAATATCATGTTCCTTGGGCTTAGTAAAAAGTAGGACTTCATTTCAGCTTCTTGAGTCTTTGCTAAAGAACTCTTCAGAGAGAAATTTATGCCTGCTTATGATGACCCCAATCTATTCATGATTTTGTATTCGTAGTTAATTTTGTCTCTATCTTAGAAGCATTAATGCCAAAGTTGCCTGAATATTTGAGTATTTCTTAATTTGACTTAAAAAAAAGTATACAGAATAATTCCAAAGGTGTTAAAAAGGTTCCGTTTATCAGTCTGTGTGATGGTGTTTTCATTATATCCAGAGAGATTTCAAGAAATCATTTGGAAATAAAAGCTTAAATGTTTTCATTTCATTTTGATATTTGAGTTTCTTAAGGTTCTAATAAGCTTGCTAATTGCCTTGTCTTTGGCTGATTTCTACTTTGTAAATACTTAATAATAGCCCAGAAATGTTTCTGACATCCCAATAAGGAAAATAAAAAAATTTAAATCAGATCTAAGTCAACCTGATGAGAAAGGGATCATGTGGCACTCTCAGGTTTAGGTAACTTGTTTATAAAAAGAAGATTCAGGGACCCTCAGCTGTTGCCCTGGCCAGCTAGCACACTGGCCACAGGAGGAATGATCATAAGCAGTTCATTAATTGCAGTTCTTGAAGAAAAGGCAACAAGATGTTTTTCTTAAATAACGATGTCCCCAGAATCAGTTGAGGTTTCTCTTGGAATGAAACTGTGCCATTCTCAGGTTGCTATGCAATAATTAGCACTAGTTCACCTGCCACCTTTTAGTTCTTCCTAGTGGTAGGCCAGAGAAGGTCCCTGGGATTTCCTTTGTGTGCACAGCACCTCCCACCCCTAGGGGGTGCTCAGTGGGTGCTGAGAAGCCCTATCCACTCTGCCATTTCAGCTCCTCTAATAAATACTCAGAGGTAGCATACCTGATACTGCTTTTCATGGAGAAAACTGTATTGGAGAACATAAAACATCACAAATATTGTTCAGGAGCTCTGCAGACACCCAAAAGAGAACCTTGGTCTTTTCCAAGTTATTTCCAACTTAATTTCAATCCAAAGCCTTTGAAAGAGATGCATCACTAAATGGGCACACAGGGGAGACCCCATCAGGTCAAAGAAATTTTAAAAGTCTCTTCATCCAGATGTCTCCCCAAAACTCGAGCACTCTCAGGATTGCTCAGGAAGTTAGCCTAAATCTGTATTGTTTATCTCATTCACTCACATTCCTTTCAACCTTCTGGAACCCTCCCTCCATGAAAGAAAGCCAGGAGGTTGTCATTTTTCTGTTTTTGAATTTTGAATAGCCTTTGCATCAGATGTATTCCCACACCTCTTCCTCTGCCTGATCCCATTTTTCTAGGGAAAAAAAAAAGTATTGTGCACATGTGTGCATGCACCTGTAACACAGGTCCATGAGAGCTAGGCTTCCTAAGTCAGTTGTGTAGCCTGAAAATCAGGGAACAACAGCTGATAGTGTGGTTTCTTTGGCTGGTGAAAATTAGATTTCATTCCTTTTTGTGTGTGGTGTGCATATGTCCTTTTTATCTGCAGTAATTGTTTTAAACTGTCATTGTAAACCTGCCCTTAAAAAGTTAAGGATTTTCAAGATGAGCTGGAAAAAAAAAAAAAGCTCTATATTAGGAGCAATTATGTGATGATTCTGAAACTTCATCTTAGAGCTTCATTAATTTAAACATAGGAAACATTCTCAAGTTTGACACAAAGTTTCCTAAAGTCCCTCAGAGCCTTGCTTGAGATTGTTATCAGCTCTGTCCACATAATTGTCATTTACCTCCATAACCATTCATGTCATGGAAGGGGGTGGTGGTTAGTTTTTGGATTTGATTTTTTTTCGATTTTCAGTGAGAAATAGAATAAGTAACAAAAATCTTTCTTGTTTTCTTAAGACAATTCAGTGCTTGAGCATCTCTGTCAGAAATGAAATGATGTACTGTTAGCCAATTAGAATTATTTCATGTATTGTTATTGTGTTTTGCTGATTTTTATATGAAAATATAATTATTCATTCTTAATATCTGGAAACAATCATTATTATGAGAATCATTTTACGTTGGAAACACTTTCATAATAAAGATAAGTCTCAAGAGTTCAGCCTCAGTGTCCTGTACTGAAAGCGCTAACCAGCTCATGTTAGAAATCCATCACACCTTCCTGGCTGGGGTTATATCAGGGCTCACATCTTCGCAGTCATTTCATACAAACCTCCTCAAACCCAAGATCTCTACCATCATTGAGGAAGTAGTGTTATATTACGTTGTGATATACTATATTACCTCTAAATTAGGATATAAGGGTAGAGGGTGTGGCTCAGTGGCAGAGTGCTTGCCTAGCATGTGCAAGGCTCAGGGTTCAATCCACAGCAACACAAGAAAATAATTAGGATATAAAAACTTGAATGGTAAATTTTATGAAGCACTTCTTTCTGAAAAAAAAATTTACTAAGGTAGCCATTTAAATGTCTGAGATTGTGCTGATTTTTCCTAACTATAATACAGGCGCTGAAGACCAACAGCCCAAAGAATATGAAACTGCCCCTCTGCATATTGTTTCAGAAGAGCTTGTTGATGTCTCCTTCTCTTTGCCTGGGCCCCATATTGTTAGACTCTTATCCTCTTTCTCTGTCTTTGCTGTGAAACTCTGTCTTGCCTAAACTTCTCTTCTGAACTCACATCATCTATTATCTCAAAAACCTTAAACATAGCACAAAAAATGCAGCCACATACTCTCCAACACTACCACCAATATTATAAAAAATGAAGCACAAACCCCATTTTCAATAATCTTATATTGCAACCACTCTCAACAATAATCTGCCTGCAAGCGTAAGTTATTATAATAAATGTAACCACTAAAATTTCTCTGAGGCACAAAAAGATATACCATATGAAAATATATCCATTGAGAAACCATGTGCTCTTCAGACTCTGTTAACGGGATGATCTAACACTGGGAGCATCTCTCCCACATGGCCACAGTGCAACTCAGCTTCTCTTTGACCCTTTCCTTATTGCCAGGGCTGCCACATCCAACCCAGGCATATGTTATTTCTTCCCCCTGATTCTGTTTCCACCAACCCTACAGTTGCTTCAGCAGGAAGAATGGCAACAACATCATCATAAAAAAGGGCAAGACAATGAAGCAGGGCAAGACAATATCAGAGATTGGCATGCACCAGGAGGTACTTGGACATTGCTGGTCCCTCAGAACCAACTGTCTTGGAGGCAGAGCCTGGGACCCATACCTTTGTTATTCCCAAAGTGCTGTAGCATGAGGGAACTAAACATTCCTAAGCACTGATATTTTTTAGATTATGTAAAGTTTATAGTGGTGGAAACCAGAAGGACTTCAATAAAAGGACTACTGTTAGGGGCCTGGGCTGAACTACAGGACAAATCAGGAAGCTCCTGAGGCTGACACCAGATGCCACTAAGAAGAAGTCCCATGGAGGCGAAGTCACCCTGCAAGGGCTATAAACCTAAATGGGGTGTAGACACCCTGTTATCTCTAACACCTTGCTTTGTGGTGCCACCTGATGACTGAACTCAGCCAGAAAACTGTCCAGGAATAGATGTCCACTGCAAGGTTCAGTATTCCACTGTGCAGAGCAGGGCAAAGAACAGATCTGGAGGCACTGAACCAAAGAAGCAGCAGAAATTCAATATTGCTGGGGCCTCACTTCGTGCCTTGGCATGTCCTAGACACAATAAACATCTGTTACAGAAACACATGTTCCCAGTGAAGATAGAACTGGTAAATTGTGCACCGCAGCAATTAACATTTCCTGTTAGGAAAGAAGAGGAGCCTGAGATGGTGAGAAAGTGCTTTGTCTCCAACTTCATCTGAAATCAGGGTTTCCCTGGTGGGTCCAACTTCTCTTACTGGTGCTCTGGACACGGAAGCTATAGGTCACTGGAGCAGGACATGTGGCACTAATCTCCCAGGCCCAAGCATTAGGACAGGAGGATGCAAGATGGAGGTTAGTGTCACTAAAGAGGACTGAAGAAAGGGCATGGAGAATTAGTGAAACTGAGTTGTGAAATGAAAATGGAGCAAGAAGTTCTAAGCTCCAGCACTTATGACCAAGTTTTGAACTGATCCTTTAGGTAAGAAATTATATTTTTAACTTAACAAATAATGAAAAATATTTAATGCATAGCTAAACATAACCTGATTAGCAAAGGCGCAGGTCCCTGGCTGCATCATTGAACCACTCAAAAATACTTACAGAGACCTGCTGGGTGTCAGGAATTATTATTGGCACTAAAGATAGAATGGTGAATAATAAATACAGTTCCTGCTTTCATGGAACTCATAATCTAGTAAGGAAAAAGTGAACAAAACAACAAGAAGTTGCACATCATATGTCATTGGAGAAAGGCAACTTGAAACAATAGAAAACCACTACATACATATAAAAGTGGCCACATCCAGAACACTGTCACCCCCAAATGCTGGCAATGCAGTAGAACCCCAGGAACTGTTAATTCATTGCTGGTGGGAATGCAAAATGGTGCAGCCATCTTGCAATATTAAACCATAAAACTAAACACTCTCTTGCCAAACTAACCAGCAATCACACTCTTTGGCATTTACACAAAGAGGATGAACACATGTTCACACAAAACCCTGTAAATGGATGCTATAAAAGCAATATATTCATAATTACACAAACCTGGAAGCCACGAAAATGTTTTTCCAAAGGAGAATGGATTAATAAATTGTGGTAATCCAGACACTGAATATTATTCAATGCTTAAAGGAAATGAGCTATTCATCAAGTCATGAGAAAATATGTAGGAAATGTAAATGTATACTACTACATAAAAGAAGCCAGTCTGAAAGGTTACATGTTGTATGAGTCCAACTATATGACATTCTGGAGAAAGCAAAACTGTGGACGCAAAAAAAAAGATTGATAGCCACCAACAGATGGGGGAGGGGCAGGAATAAATAGGGAGAGCACAGTTTGTTAGGGTGGTGAAACCATTCTATATGAACCATAAGAGTGGACACATGTCATTAGATAGTTATATAAACCTGTGGAATGTACAACACTGGAAGTAAACCCTAAACTATGGACTTTGGGTGATAACAATGTAACATAGGCTCATCAATTATAATAAACATACCACTAGTAGAGGCTCTCAATAATGGGGGAGGCTGTGCACATGTGGGGGCAGGGGGCATATGGAAAACATCTGTACCTTCCACCCAGTGTTGCTGTGAACCAAAAACTCTTTTAAAAGTAAAGAATATTAAAGAAAAGAATAAGAAAGGAAGAAATAAAGATTATTCGTTTTCTAGGATTGCCAGAACAAAATACTATAGACTAGGTAGTTTAGAACTGTGACAGAATAAACTTAACAGAAATTTATTTTGTCACAATCTGGAGGCTAGACGTTCAAGATCAAGGAGTCATCGGAGTTGATTTCTTTGGAGGCCTTTCTTGTAGGCTTACAGATGGCCGCCTCACTTTACCTTCTAGGTTTATGTGTCCTAATCTCATCTCAGGAGGACACCAGTCATATTGCATTAGACTTATTTTACCATATAACCTTTTTATTTTTACCTTAATCACCTATTTAAAATCCCTAATCTTAATATCGTCACATCCGAAGGAAGTGGGGGTAAAGATATCAACATGAATGTTGGAAGGACATTTAGTCCTTATTGCAAGGTCTAGTCATATGGTGACAAAGGACAAAAGTAATGAGGAAAGAAGATGGTTGCACAGTGAGTTCCAGGGCTCTTCAGACTGGATGGCCACAGATACCTCATAGACCAGCTGATTTGAGCTAAGACCTGCTGACGGGAAGGGGATCAGATGTTAGTTAGGAGAGAGGAGTCCAGGCAGTGGGAGCCTGGAGCACAGAGCCTCTGAGATGACGATATGCATGTGAGTTCAAGGATGGACAAGAAGACCAGTGAGGATGAAGGATACTATACAGGGGAGGCTACTCACAGGTGATGATGCTGGAACAATAGGGAGAGACAGATCATACAGAGCCTGTATCCCCTGGTAAAAGGATGAGTGTTAAGACTAATAGGAGAATGTGTAGGGATATGAAACAGGGAGTAGCGTGGTCTGATTTGGTGACATCTTTAATAATAGAAAGAACATGAGCTAAAAAATATTCATCCTAAATGCAACCAGAGATCTACCTCAAACTCTCAGTGTGCCGGAGGTGTCTGCAGATGTGTCATAGGCAGCAATGACAAGGCAGGGTGATGGGCTGGTAAGCACTGGGGGGAAAAAACTAAGCATTAAGCATTAGTAAAGATTCAAGCCACAGGTAGCAAAGTAAGCCTTGACCGAGAATGACACGTGGAAGGTTTTGCTTTAAGGATGCTACAATCTGGGACAGAGAGAAACACCAAATCCTTTCAAGGAAAGCAGCTTGAAAAAATATGAGAGATTGGCAATCATCAGCCAGAAGCAGACCTTAGGTAGGAGGGCAGGCTTCCTGACTGAGGGAGTTCTTTCTTATTGATGTTGCAGCACCTTTCCATGTGTAGTTCAAAGGCACCTAGTGGACTGAGCATTGATGGATGAGAGCAATTTCTGAAGCACCTCTCTGGAGAAGGCTAGCAGCCAAAATGACAATACTTGCTGCCTGTGGATTTCCTAACTGCAGGTTGCGTGTGAATGAGCCCGCCCTGTTCAGCTTATACCACCCAGCACAGGGAGGTGAGAGGTAGAAGCAAATAAATCTCTTAGGCCTTTCCTACTGTGTGTCAGGCATCAGATTCCGTAGGTGCAAAACTATCTCAATCAAGTCATTCACAATAGTTATGTTCAGTCACCACTTGAACTGTGAAGACTAAACCTAGAATAACAGGATTAACTTCCTATGAACCTCTGGTCTTGACATATTCATCCACCATATTCATAACTTTGTCTTATACATATTTTTTAGATGTTGATGGACCTTTTTTATTCATTTATTCATATGCGGTGCTGAGAATCGAACCCAGTGCCTCACACATGCTAAGCAAGTGCTCTGCCACTGAGCCACAACCCCAGCCCACATGTTTATTTTTTTAAAAACTTATTTTATGTAAATATAGCTGGATCATTAACACTGAACTCA